TTGAGTTAACTGTAATGCACATTCAATCACATCTTGGTTAATAGGAAATAATGAAAAATTAGCTGTAAATTGAATATATACACCCACACAGAGGGTTGAGTAAGTTATATTAAAACAATTTTGAACATTTAAGTCAGCTAGTCAAGTGACAACTACAGACGATATGAATTTGAGGTGGAATGGATTGTATCAGAACATCATTTTAAACTTGTTTGGTGTTTTGTAGATTACAAGTCGTTTGTATACGTCTTTTTTAATTAAGTACTTATTCTGAAGATTTGTCCATGAATATATGGAATCAGAGTGTTGACTGCTCTGAGTGCAAAGTGATTTTCATGTTAAGATTAAAAATAATTTTATTCATATTAAAGTTTTTAAATTTCATTTGATTAACTTCTAAAAGCTCCTAAACAAATATCACAAATTTTGTTCTATAAAACTTTATATTTTATCTGTTATTTTCTCTACCCTCTCTATATGGTCTCAGTCAATTAAACCAATCTTGTAATCACCACAACAAAATACGAAATAAATTACCCCTTTTTCTTTCTATTAGGTTGTCAAGAAATTAATGTCGCGTTTTGGAACACTTTCATTAACCACCCCTCAAAAAAACGTACATCATGTATAATAGTTAAACGAACCACCTAAACGTCACATTAGTGTAGCCTATATAATGTGTAAAGTTTAGTATACTCTAATCCCTTATAGTGATGGCACACAACGAGATACACATTTGGCATGTAATGCTGTTTGAATACAAGAAGGGGAAACAATGCCTCTGTAGCCACAAATAATATCAGAAACGTTTATGGGGATGTTTTGAACATTCATAAGTGTCAACGATGGTTCAGCAAATTTCGTTCAGGTGACTTTAGCTTTAAAAACTGTGATGGCAGAGGCCGACATGTTGGAATTGATATTGATGCTCTGAAGACGCTTGATGAGTCTAACCCAAGGCAACACGCTCGTGAAATGACCCTGAAATTGTATGTATCTCATGAAATAATACATAAACATCTAAGGAATAAGGTAAAACTCCATAAAGAAGGTGTAAGGGTGATCATCGTTTCCAACATGTGAACGTTGCTTAGTCTCTTCTGGCACGTAATGTGCGTGAACCATTTTTGGACAGAATTGTCACTGGTGATAAAAAATTGATTCTCTATGTGAATGTTAAATGCCAAAAACAATGGCTCAGTCTTAGACAAAACCACTTCTGACCCCAAAACCTGGACTCCACAGAAAGTGGTGCTATGCATTTGGTGGGACATCAAAGAAGTAATTCATTACGAACTCCTCAATCCACAGTGAACTGTCAATGCAAAGATCTATAGTCAGCAACTAGAACATTCAAATCAAGCCCTTCACTCGTCAGTTGGAAAGGTGTTCCTCTTCACGAC